ATATAAGAACTGGTATTTTGACAGCAAAATTCATTATTTTTATTGCTAGATAAGGGTCTCTCTGAATTTTTGAGCAACGTAAAAGTGGTCATTCAGTTATCAGCATTAGTGCAAAAACAAAGAATTGTTGTGGGAAAAAAAAAGATGTGATGAAAAACCGTTATATTGATGCAATACGATATGCCTTGCTGAGTTAGTAAAGGAAGTATCATGTCACTCTTATTGGTTGCCTAGCGCTATGCCCTTGTCCTAAGGTAGTACAGGACTGTGCGAAAAGTAGAATATCAATATGTTTGATAGTCCATCCGAAGCTGTTATCGTATAAAGAACATAATGGTGTACAGCATCTTTTGGAAAGTTTAAACGTGCAGAGACGTAGAAATATTGTGGGAATTTAAAACATATATAAAGCTTTCAAGTCAAACAACGCGGGAAGTGTTTCATTGTTAAGTAGGTCTTGTCAGAGAGAGAGAGATAGACTTATTTCAGAAAATAATCACAAGGTCCGAAATACGGTATTTTAAAAATATCTTTAGTTTGTTGGAAGCGATTTTCCAGCTAACCCTTGTATTCAGCCAATGACTATAGATGTACAAAACTTGAATAAACTTTTACACTCCTTGATTTTTTTTAACTTTTTAATGCTGATGTTTGTTGTGTGTGTGTATATATACTGATGACACAATATAAAAATAAAACCATTCATAGAACCATAAATACCAGTTTCGTATCTTCCAGGACACTCTTCAGCTTCTAAAATAAGACTCTTTGATAAGACCTACTTTATATGCAACGGTTTCTCAACTCTCACGACATAAATTATGTTAATCATAACAAAATAGAAAGTCTTGGATTTTTGTTCACCATTTTTTTTTATGACATAACTGTTACAAGCTGCCTTCAAAAAAGTATGATCGCAACCATCATTACGTCAGAGCTCAAAATCAACGCAAGCTTAACTCTCCTTTTTTGTGTTTAGTTTAAGTTAATAATACAGTTTATCTGCCACTGTGTTTATACTGGCAGACTATAAAGTTTATCGTACCTTCAATCATTAATTTAATATAGTTGATAATTAGAAGGAATCTTTCAAGAACTACACTATTTTACATTAGTTGTATTTTATTTAATAATGTTTTATGCATCTCATTGTTTTTTTGTCATATCTTGTTTGTAGCATATTTATATATTACGATTCCCACCCACCCCCACTTTTTATTTCTGAAAGCAGTGTGTATTGTGTCAAACCCTTGACCTTTAATATGTTTTTCTTTGTGACCATTTACGTTTCACTATGGTATAGGATGACCTCTTGCCACTGTAGCGGCGTTATCAATTCTCGCCCGTTGACATCAGTTTGATAGACAGCAAGGATGGGTCCTTGGCCAACAAGGCGCTCATTCTATATCTGAAGTTCTTGCATATATGTGGTGTGCTCTTGGCTCTGTCAGAGAATATAACATATTTATATTTACAGTAAACGTCTTTGCGCTGTGACGGCGGCAGTTGGTGTAAAGACTTCTTTGTAAAAAGGAAAGAGCCGTGTCAACATGTATATACTTGTTTCAGACCATGGCCACTTGGTGGATTTTGCATTGTTCCGTGTATGATAAATTGGGTATACCCTGATAGCCTTCAAACTCCGTAATGAAATATTACACAGCGTACGTGATTGCTGCCATGCATCGGGTTGTTTTTTATTATCATTATTTAAAACTTTGAGTCAACGGTGAAAGATATTGTATTTCCGAATCTCTGTGGTACTTTTGACTTGTCCTGATTCTCTCAGAACTTGTGTACCAGAGCGTCCGATGTGTGATATGTGCCGTGTGAAGTGTTCTGTGCCTTGTATACATAGGGTATGGTTGCTGGACAGCGGCTCTATTTGACAGACGGGTATAGGAATTTAAAACCCCAATGCCTTCTAAGCAAGTCGGAAGCGTAAAAGAACACTTGAAAAAAACTGACCGTACTTATGCCTTTGCATATACACCGACAAACAGACTGTACGAAAGCCGCGTCATATGCTGTAACAAGGTGCTTAATGTTTACAACTCGGACACACCCATACACAAGAGATACCGTGTACACAGAAACACGCTTTTTCGTTTGGTTTTTAAAGCACACAAGCTACACGTTGTACATAGGAAGTTGACGTATTCATTTAACAACCAGGTAGTTTATCAACGCGCATATAAAAACACACATTATCCAGTTAATCAGTATAAGGTCAGTATAATATGCAGGTCAAGTTACCGACGTGTATTGTTCCCGAAGAGCAACTATGACACGTCATTATAGGAACTTTTATCATATCTTCCTGCAGGACTGATACCCAATTATTGCTACTTTCAAGAATGTCATTATCATTGCTAATCAAGAATTCTGTTAATTAAGGCAATCATATAATATTATTCCGAACCTTTCTGTACTTAATTCATTCACTAATCGACCATCAAGGACCTCTTCTCAGTGGTCCACTTTCGAGATTTTCAATTATTATCATAAAAGATAAAACAATGTTAATTATTCACTATGTTTTTATGGCTCGTTTTTTATACCGATTACATATTTTTCACTTGATGGATGATAAGATTTACTTACGCCATAAAGGTTTTGTTGGTTATTGTGTCCTCATTAATGATTATGGCATGTAATAGAGCATAAACGTGTATAAGTAATTCTTTTTTTTCGTTGCAGGGTTAGAATTTGTAATGTATAGTTGTCTTGTTATAAGACGACGTTTCGGTCCTGTGCAGAGGCAGAAAGTAGACCGAAACGTCATCCAATGCACTGAAGAAACAAGACGGGAGCATTCAGTTACAAATTCAAATATTATAATCTTGACACATTTTAAAATACCTGAAAAATACAATTTTAAATGATAAAACTTTCCGAATTTTGTAATATATATATATATATTAATGGATAAATTTACACACGAGTATTTTATCGATGGGAAAATCCTAAAATATCTTTATCTTGTTTGTTTGTGTATAATAAGTTACGCATGTTCACTTTAATTATTCCTGATGAACGTAATGTCACCAGAACTTGCTTTAAAATAGTATGCTCTTTGAGATAAGGAAAACATATCGCTTTGAAATATTTTCACGCATAATTTTTGTGTATCGAATCTCGGCTAGTTCAGTTAAAAGCAGTAGCAATACGAATCTGTATCACACTTGGCTATAACTTTCGTTTATACATTAATAATGACTTTTTTTATTTTTAATATTAGTGAAGAGTAAAAAAAAACGTTGATTTTTTTTTTAAACAGAAAAGTAATATTTGTTAAATGTATAACATCTATATGTATTCACGCCTGCTTCTAGGAATGTAGAGTTATCGCTCATAAGGTCTTGCCTAGGGTTAACATCTGCTCTTCAAAATGTATTGCTTTCCTATACTGGTGGAGTTTCATAGGTTTTAATAAGAACCAGACATTTTTATGAACGTTTAACGCTACTATTTCCATCGGTGTTTGTTCGGAATTGGCGTCTGCGCCACAAGAGATTAGGTTTCAAATTCCAGTGTTAGTGAATGGTTTCTTTATTTGTTGAAACCGATATTACGATGGAGGGATGTTGTGATTCATTTCGAACGAAAGGGAAGTTTCTTTAGTAGGCTTAGCACGCGACAAAGGCAAAAATAAAACGAATTCCAAACAATTATTTTCTTCGTTATGCAATACGTTTTAAACCACGATGTGAACAATTTTTATCAGACGATATTCGCATGAAAACGGGATAGCAATTTAGATAACAGTGACATCTATAGGATTCTAAACTAACTTATTCTATAGCGAACTGTTTAAGTCGTTAAAATATATTCTAGTGTTTACGACTATTTCCGAATTCTTAATACATTTACACTCTTCAAGTTGGACTTTTGTTATTTTAACTATTGTAGCATCATGTTACGAATTTTTTATTATAGCTAATGTACAATGCGAGTTAACTGACCTGAATTCTGGGACAACAAGCAGGTTTCTCTAGTTTATTTGTCTAAGAAAACAACAACAAAAAACGAATACTCTGCAGATAATACCATGAATTTTTGTTTCAATTTTAGTGGGAAAATATTGCGGTTAGTAAAACTAGGTTATTTATTTTTGTATATAATGATGTAGTCTGAAGCATGTGTTCAATTTACATCTGTGGTTTACAGCATCACCACAGAAGACGGAATATAAAACATTACTGTGTTCTAATTACATTTATTCCGGCGTTCGTACAGTCGTATAAAATTAATAGCTCATGCGTAACGTCAGTGTAATTAATTTTCATGTAGATATGAAATTTTTATGAAGAAAAATAAAAAAAAAAGTTAAAAAGTAAATTTAAAGATGTACGATAATCGGTGGAAAAAGAAAGACACGTGGATTTGGCTTCCGTACATTAGTGATCGTAAGATTAATATTAATTAAAAATAAATGCTATATATAATCTAATTATATCGAACATACATGCGAATCAGTTAGGATGAAAACAAAATGTACACAAATTCTAGAAACGTTATAAAGCAATTTAAACGTGTAGGACTATAAATGTTTAACCCCCAAACTGAGCTTACTATCTTCGAAATTTGATTGATTCCTCCACCCCCCACCCCCTTAATTAACAGAAGAAAGAACATGTTGAATCGAACGAATTACAGTTTTCTTCCACATAAACATAAAACTCCGAATAAATTTTTTTCTAGTTTTAAATCGGTAAGTTATCAAAGTTAACCTATTAATATATATATATATATATATATAACGATTTAAATATTTAAAACGTGTACTCACAATATTAACATTGCCTAAGATTGTTTTTTTAAGTTTTAAAAGAACCTTCAGATAGAGCATATCTTATTGGCCAAATACTCAATTGTGTGCGGTTAAAAATAAGGATGCGAATAGGGTGATATAACACAATTCTTTTTTATTTTTGTCGAATTTCAACACTACAAGTTTGTATTTTAAAAGTTATACTTGAAACCTTTTTATTTGACAGGTCTGGGAAGAAGTTTCGAACGAAGCCAAAAATTTTGTACGGTCACTTCTTCGGTGCGATCCCAGGCAACGTTTAACGGCTGTTCAAGCATTAAAACACCCGTGGATTTTGGAAGGGCCCGGTAGCCCGTCCTCGGATCGTAGGAGGTCTGCCACGCTTTCTACACAAGGCCTTCGCTACACCGCTAGTCAGAAGTCGGGATCGGGATGGTCGGTTCAGTCTTTACGTTCCGGACACCGAAGGGTGGGGGTTCACCACCTCGAGGAATTACAAGCGGACCCCGAAGTCGCAGGAATGATAAGGTACGTTGTTCAATTTTATCTGTATTGTTAATTATCTTGTAGATAGTAATAAGATTTTTCTGGTCAAACTTCGGTAACGACATGGGGATGAAAATTTAAATAATTACCAAAGCTAGATATATACTAATTAATGAAAACATCATAGCAAACCGGTTGGAAAAACTAAATGTAACCCAGTACAGCAGGGATATATATATTCTTCTTAAGTGTCTAAAAATATATATTTTTTTTAATTCGGGAATAATATTGGGTCATGGAAAGGGAAATGAGAATTAAAAAAAAAGGTTGAAAAAATTGGGAAAATAAACTTTATATTAACTATTTTCAGCAGACTCATAAGGCAGAAAACGTAAACACTATTGCAATCACCCGACTGTTGACTAGAAGCTTGTGTATTACGATAACCATTTGTAAAAGGGGGTTTTAATACCCAAAATTGAGAGGAATTTTTAAAACCAGTGAGTGAACTTGAATATAATACGCACCCCACCACTACGTTTAATCCACTCACTGGTTGTCTCAACAAAGCCCATATAATTGATTCTGGTGGTATATAAACGTCTCCTCAACGTCCAACAAATACGTTGCGATTGTCACGACTGTACTTCTACTGTTCATCAGACACAATGTAATAACTGTAGGAAGCCTCGATAGAGGGCGCGGAAAATATCTTAGATTTTCTTTGAAAAATAATTTATCTACCCCCTTTACAACACACAAAGAAAACTAACCGCTAATATTTCTATTTATTTTTTACATAGTCCTGTTATAATGTCCACATCGTTATTAATGTTTTTCTTTATATTCAGGTTCAGTCTATAAAAGAAATGACTTT